AAAGCTCCTTAACATATTTTTAACATGCTGTCAGCCACACTGAATGAACAAAAGATCAAAACCAACTCACACAATTCATAAGCCCTGAGTAAAAAACCAGGCCAAATACAAAATTTTACCTTTTGGAAGAACTACAACATTATAACATTTTAAAGATTTTCTACTGCCAACAACAGAAGCAAATAATATATTCTAATAATTCTTTTTACCAGATAGTGAGAAGTTAATACGTGGAAATCTATTAGTGATTTGTTTGTCACAATAGACTTTGCAATACCCATAAGAACACAGCTGAAGACTCTGGACTTTGCAACAAAATGCATTTTTACAAGCAGTAGCCTTCAAGAGGATGTATAGTCCTCACCTAAGCTTTCCTGCTGCTTAAAATCTATGTGCAAACTGAAAATACACTGTAATTGAACACCATCATTGGTTCTTCAATACATATAATTCTCCTGTTATTTACCAATAATCTGACATAGCTCCTTGTCATGCTCTGACTTTGTGGGATAACTTGACAAGAAAAGAATGCTTCAGTAAATGATGTTACATATTCCAAACAGAATAATTTAATTTAATCATCTGTAATGTGCCCATCTACAGAACAGCAAAGTTTTTAAAGCATGGACATACAAAACAAGGAAAAGACATTATGGATTATAGGAAAAGATTAGAGAAAAGGAATGGAGTGAGAAGATACAATGAAGAAAAAGAAAGGACAGAAAAAAGGTAGACACGGAAAGAGGGCTGCATGAAAATGCAACAAATGAAGGGGCACTTCACAGGAACAACAAATGGAAAAGCTTCAAAGCCCAGGAAATTATTCTTAGGTTTGGAAAGGCGGATGCCCAGCTAGCAAAGATGGTTGATACATTCCCTGGGGAATAGTATACACGTATGCTACCACAGTATTTATATATATATTAAAAAATTATATATACTACCACCCTGCTTCCTAACATTCTGCAGTTGTCATTAATTTCTTATGACAGCCCTACATTTCAGTATAACTGAATTCAGTGGGATTACTCCATGAATTATTGTCGACAGAAGCAAAGCTGTATACCAGAGAACTGACCTATATCACTCCTGCACTGTGTGCCACTACCTGAGTAATCTTTCACAGCAGCATTCAAAAAAAAGTATCATCCTGTATCTTTTCATATTGAACAAAAGTATCAGATTCAGAAATGAGAGCCAGCTATTCACCAGTTAACATTATTATTTGTATAATGTATCAATCAATAAAAATCCTAAGAACCTACTCTCTTGACTCATATAAAAATGTAGGCAATTTATTTTCAGAAGTGATAGCAATGCAAAAGAAAATCCACAAAAGATGAAATAACATGTAAGACTGCACATGTCTGTGAAAAAAAGTATACTGCACATAAAAACCAGCAGCCTCTAGAATTACAGGTACCTGGAATTTTTCAGATGCTAGTGTTTTGGAAGCATCAAAACTGGAAAAAAAGGGAATTTTAATTAAGTCAAGACAGTAGCCCCTAACATAGCAGCAGTAAAAAAAAAAGTAAATATAGCACACCTGTTCTTATCCACAAGTCATTCAAAAACTGTTACTAATCTGTCATGTAAATTTTATGGGATGAAGTTCTGTCTTTAAGAAATACTAGGGAAAAATCTCATTCAATTCAATATGATTAACTGATGTTTACAATTTATGCTTTACAGTGTGCAAAAAAAGTTAGAAGGTAACAATTACTTTCCTCTCTGAAATTGAGAAATGCATTTTTTAAAATTTTATTTTATATTTTATTTAGCATCTCTCCTTAGGCAATTTTTAAGGATTAGCTCATCAATTTCGTATATAACATATAAGAGCTGTATGGTAATCAATTTACAGGTCTTTTTACAGAGCAACTGGTGCCAAGAAATGCTGCACATTCACATTACTTGAACCAACATCATTCAGCTCAGTTTTATTTTTAAACTGCTTCCTCTGTCTATGAAAACTAATACTAAAACCATAGTAGCCATTTCTCTTCATACTGTAAGTTTTCCCCTTTCACCTGATGTCAGTCTCAACATTGACGTAAATGTACCGGCAGTTTAAAAGGACCATTTATTTCACTGACTGACAGACAATTTTGTGTTGTAAACGTGCAGGTCTGAAGAACACAACAACGCGATTTAAGGATGTACAAACACAACATTTCAGCAATGTTATTTTCTGAATGACATGAGACAGAATTTCTAGTGGTGTAAGGTTATCCAATGATACTAATCATCAAACTTAGCACAAAATAAAATTGGTTTGACTTTAGTATGCCACTCAGTTCCATAAAAATGGCATGAAGTGAACAATCTCCAAAATATTGTTAATCAAAACATAAGCTCAGTAGTGACCTCACATCTGCTTAATATTTTGAAATTTTAAAAAAGTCTTAATTTCGAACAAGGAAGATCACAAAGTGACAACTCTTCTGCAACACAGGACATTAGCTAAAGGTAAAGGCGTAGAACAAATTGCCACCAAAATCTCAGCTCTGTCAATCCAATAGTTGGTTGTTAGATCTGCAGTGAGCAGCAGACAGGTCTCAGGCTCCACTCAAGGAAAAACAGGAGGAGACGTATATTTTATTCAATAGGTTTGTAATTTACTGAACAAAATAAGATGCTTTTATTCATATTTTCCTTTTCTTCTCTCAGGCAAAACACCAATTTTCGTCTATGTTTGTGTTTACATTTTTTTAAAGCTGTCTCTCCAAATTCAAATGAGATAGCTTCATCCTGATCTTAATTCTGTTACTAGTCTAGCTATAATAAATACTATTCCAGTCCCAACAGTGAAATGGAGACTCAAGCTGTCGATGCTGTTGCTTTGAAACAAATTGCGTCCCACTAAAATCCATTATATAGTCTAATAAGCAAACACTTTTCTAAGGACTGCTTAGAGCAACAATTCTTCATAATCTAAAAATTCAACCACAGAAATAGCTCACAAAACTTTATCTAGTTGTTGAAAAACTACAGTGAGCACTGATAAGAAAGCATTGTAGTACTTACCGTACCGAAAGCGCACAAAAACCTGTTCAGTACACAATCACCAAAGGGAGATGGACCTAATCATGAAAGTTCATTTCTAATAACAAAAAGGCTATGAAGAAAAAAACTGTAAAGAAAAATAAGTTATGAGTACTTGATACCAAGGATATTTTGTACAGAGCTTATGCTGCTTCTGTATGAGACCAACTGCTAATTCAATTCAGTACATATACTTCTCCTGTTTACAATCCTCTAATTGGAGGCTTATTACTTACTCTGTATTTGCAGGTTCTTTTTTTGATCCATTTCTTGCTTAAGAATGGAACCTAGAAATAATTTTAATTTATTTTTATGACACCTCATTTTGTCCAAAAGCGATTAAAAAAACAAATCACCTGTTGTATTGCAGCTTTATGACTGACTGTTTTTCCTATGTTAGCAATTCCTTTTTCAAAGGGATTTTCTAACTTATTTAATAAAGTTAAGAAAAAAACAATATTGCTTTACCTAGGGAAAAAGGAGGCAGCAGCAGCAGGCAAAACCTGCTCCAAAAGCTGCTTGTATTACACTTGGAAATCTTTTTCTAATGAGGACTTTGTCAGGAGAAAAGGTATCCTGTGACAGACCAAAAAACATTTCTGAGATTTTTCATTATCTTATACATTTTGGCAATGGGCAATAGACATTTTTGGGAAGTGGAAATATTTGGTTTTATAACTGAATAATTTTATTTCTTTTTTATTTCTTTTTTTTTTCTTTTTCTTTTTTTTTTTTTTTAATATGGGGAAACTATTATTATGGCTTGGTACTGACAAGTATTTCCTTTAATGTATTGAAAAGTCTGTCTGGATTTAAGTATAGTTTAGATTAAAAACTTGCCCCAAGAAAAATTTGCTTTTTAATACAAATGCTGTGCTTTTTTCTTTTAAAGTTATTCATTGAAAAACCTATTAGCAGATGAGTCATTGTATATAACTACGGCTCCCTATTTTTCTTTGTGGACTATAAAACTATTATGGGATGTTAAATTAATGTCTTTTGGGGAACCATTAACAACTACAAATTCTGCCTATGCAGTTTGTTGTTTAGCTTTGTTTCTATTCGCATAAAGCCAGTCCTCCGGCCTACAAAACCTGCTAGGAAGGGAAAGAAAAAACAACCCAAAACTCAAATCTACCATACTTACTATCAATAATTTTGTTGACACCATTCAGAAATTCCATAGACTCAAAATAAAATCACAGTCCTTTTTCTCCTTTCAGAATATAGCCTCTTAATCCAAACAATATCAGAGAAGTTAAAATTTAGTCCATTCATCTGGCAAATGTTTCCCTCTGTTTTATAAACATGCATACCACAGAGAAAAATTGTTCAATTTAAGGTTTCTTACATTATTAGTGTAAAAAATCATCATAGAAAAATGGTTATTCTCAGTGTTAGTAACATCCTTATTGTAATGTATTACATTTCCATAAAACAAAGATTTTAGCAAAACCAATTGTGTTATAAGCAGCCAGTAAATACAGTTAATTGTCTAGAAGAATTATAAAATAGAAATTCGTGTAGTATGGACAATTATGTTCCAACAGTCTCACCGCAAGTTTGACATAAAATGTCAAGAAAACCTAAGGGCGGACACTGAGGAAAATGTGTGACAGTTTGTCAGAAATGCTGGTTCAAAAATTCTATGGCTACTGTAAATAAAATAGCCTGTCTAGACTAATACAGTACTATAGGTACCGTTTTCTCTATGTATGTTTACAACCTGTAGAATACTTCCTTTTTTAATATTTTAGTTAAAAGTTATATCCTATGGGAAGGAGAAAAAAATACACACCAGAGTATATGATGACTTTTTACACAACGATAATTAATCATCACATTTCATTAATAAATGATCAAGCACTTGCAAGCTGTCCACAATCTTTTTCATCTAGTTTGCATTTTTTTATAATGGTGGAATAACATTTTAAAAAGTTTGAATAGGCACTTACTGGAATTACAGTTAATCCTGATACAGTCTAGATGGGGAAGAATAGATGAAAAATGAAAATTTATCCTTCAAAGTAATAGCTGCAGACATCCAATAAAATCACAGTCCACCCTTCCGGGGACAGACACATGCAAATATGGCCACTCCATATCATCAGTCTTTACATACTGTTATAACCCAGATATACTGCGATAAATCTTTATAAATAGAAACGACAAATAGGGTAAAAATGGCCAATTTCAAACAAAGCTACATGGTGACAAATCTAAGTGAAAAATCAGGATTAAATGTCAAAGATGCTTAACTGAGGCAGGCTGCAACTTTCTCCCCATCTGTGAAAGAACAGGTAACTTCTGTCAATGCAATTAGAAAGTGCTCCGTCACAATGGGTCATAGAGCAAGCCAGGCCACAATCAGACATCTTGGACAACTTGTGTATAGTATACCTCAAAGGCTGATCTTCAAGAACTATGTGGTAAAATACAAAGCTCATTACGCAGGCCTATAAATAAGGTTTTGTGGGTTTATATTTTCTTAATCTATAAACTTAAGTGAACAGTGACTACATTTAAAGCTATGTTAATATACAGAAAATAATCATGTATTTATAAACGTTGATAATTAGAGAATCCTGTCTATTTTCAGATTATTTCTTGGCCTGACTAAAAAAAAAAAAAAAAAAGAGGAAAAGAAAGGGGGGTGTTGGAAGAAGAAACAATATTGCTAGGACATGGTTTTATTTACTTTCTTGAACTACAAAAGTGGGCAAAAACTGACAGAGGGTGGTGTTCTGTATATAAAGAGAACAACTTGATCTGTAGCAGGATCCTCTGCTGGGCTACCTACGTTTATTGCTGTAAAAAATTCTACACTACACTACTTGGTTTTTACAGCTACTCCTGGTTTATACCTTTGAGGAACATATATACCCATCAAACCTAGATTTTGTTTCCATATAGCTGAGTTTGTCATGTGTCGTCAACCGCATCAGAAAAGTGGTTGCAAACAGCCAAGGACCAGGACCTGCACATCCCCTTTCACAGAAAGCACTCCCGCGGGAGGGCTCGGGGCAGCCGCAGCTGCCCCACAGCAGCCCCGCGGCAACCCTGGCTGGGCACCAAAGGGGACTGTGAGGGGGAGTAAATATGGAAGCCCTTTGCTTCTCCTTCTCCCTTTCAAAATCTAAACACCAGGATAATATTTTAGGGAGCAACATGTTTATGAAGTGGAGGGTTAGGAGATTACATTCTTTCTGTCATACCCCCCACCATGCTTTATGGAAATCATTTTGTCTGTGATTATAATAATAAAATCCTTAATTCCATTTAAAAATAGCATTCCACTGAATGGGAATGACTGCACTGAGCATCTCTCTTACTGAATGTACTGCTGCTCTCTTTCAGCTCCTGACTTGGATTTATTCAAAAGCACAGCAGAAGCACTTTAATTTATTTAGTTTTTTTAAAACTAGAGAAAACCATAACCCAACTTTTTGTCCATCTTGCGTTGAACCAGGAAATATTAATTTTTTTTTTTCTGTAAAAGGGTTTGTGTCTCCTGTGTTCACACGGCTGTTTGCTGAGGGCCGCAGTCTTTGGGCATTGAAGGGTTGTGTTATCGTTCGATACTACAAAAATACCACTACAGAATTGTATAAAAAAGAGGAAATGGATTTACTATAGATTTGACACCTAAAAAAAGGAGACCAAAAAATCCATCAGTGGGAATATCTAATTGCAACCTTTACAGTGTTAAAACTAGAAATTCTTTGATACATTTGCATGTTATACATTAATTGGTGGTGGTATAACTGAACTGACCTACATACACATTGTTTCTGCTAGCACATTTAAATTTTGGAATTGCTACTGTGAAGAAGCTGTGGAGGGAGACCCATATTCCACAATGAAGTAAGTTAACCCAAAATACCACTGATGAACTAGCCTTCTCTTTTTAGAATACACAATAGTACAAAAACATTGCGATGGATTATGTTAAGACTATATAAAGAATAAAAAAAAAAACCAACAAAAAATCCAACAAAATAAAGTGTAATAATGGACATGTATTTGTGTGTGCATGTACATACACAAATGTGGCATTGACATGTGTTTATATATCATTTCAGTTTACATTTAATGTTAAAACAGGCTGTTTCATAAATGTTTGCAAGCAAAAAGAAAAATGTAAAGAAAATGTTAATTTCTTGGAGGAAAGGTTTGTTACCTAGGTTGACCGTTAGTTTAACTCGTCCTGCATCCAACTCTAAACGAAGGGTATCTGCAGATTCCCTAGAAGTTGTTGCCATTAAAATACCATAAGCTCGTTGGGACCTGAACCGTAAAGAAACATCTTCGGCCTCTGTATGCATCACAACAGGGAGTTGTATTTTCATAAACATACTTCCATCATAGCTTAAAATTGTTGCCTCTGAAAACATAAATGAGAAAATCAGTTAGGAAAGAATTGATTTACTAAATTTATTTATTTATTTATTTATTTATTAAAGGTGCTTAAAAAGATGATGTTAAATGTATATTCGCTCAGTGCAAAGCAGAAAAATTCATATTACATATCACAACTATTACTCAGAAACATAAGCTAAGTTGGGTTTAGGTTTTTTCTGGTTTTGGTTTGGTTTCATTTTTTTCAGTGGCATATTTTGGTGCTTTTTTAAGACAATAATTTGCTCTTTTAATATGCCAGCCCTTCATGTATGCATTTTCAAGAGGATGGATAAAATCACATGTAAAGAAACACTTACAAGACTAGGTCTGTACTACTCAAAAAAGGTCAAAGCCAGTAAAAGCTATTCAGGTAAACATTACAGCCTATTAAAACGTCATGTCTGACTGTCATCCACCTAGATAATTTCCTTAGGATACTTAATGTACAAATCTATCAGGCTTGCTATTACCACAGTTACAATTATTATCCACTCAGCAAAAAGCTGCCTGAAATGGGTAAATATCCCCAGCATGGGTTGGACAGAGTGCAGATTGCTTCACGACTGCAATGACTGCAGGACGATAGAATCAAAACCACGTGTACAAACATTTCGACAGCCTCAACAAGAGAATCGAAACTGGACTTGGCATATTGAGGGTAAGATCTTAAGACCCCTGAGACAAGCAAATAACTGTCACTTTCAGACATTACAAAAAACCCTCCTGGTGAGCAACTCTGGCACAGAGCGGTCACAGCCTGTTAGACCCCAGAGCAACCAGCCACAAGTCTTCTTTTCCCAGCCTCCCTACTGGTAACAAGGAAGGTAGCAGAAAGACTGCATTTCTGCTCACAGGGAAGCACAGTGGTTCCTAGAAAGCAAAGGCCACATCTGTTTCTGAAACATATTAGGAAGTCCTTTTTTGTAAGATCATCAACTGATCATTAATGTTTATAAATTTGTAAAGGGCAAGTGTGAGCAGGAAGGAGCCAGGCTCTTCTCAGTGATAGCCAATGATAGGACAAGTGGAAATAGGAGCAAGCTGGAGCATAGGAGGTTCAATTTGAACATGAGGAAAAACTTTTTTACTGTAAGGGTTACAGAGCACTGGAATAGGCTGCCCAGAGAGGTTGTGGAGTCTCCTTCTCTGGAGACATTCAAAACCCACCTGGACACGTTCCTGTGTGACCTAGTTTGGGTGATCCTGCTCTGGCAGGGGGGTTGGACTGGATGATCTTTCGAGGTACGTTCCAGCTCCTAATATTCTGCAATTCTGTGATTAATGGCAGCCAGTTAATCATCACTGCCTTTGGAAACAGGTCTTAGGCTCATGGACTGTGGTACATCGTGATGGAAGAAGCAGTGAACAAGCAACATCATTTAACCCAAGCCAATAGTGAGTGGGCAGACCACCAGGAATTTCAGTAGGCTCCGCAGTAACATACAAAACTAACCACAATATAAAACTAAAACCACAACCTGAATAGCAAAATGTACTATCTTAATGTGCCCCATTTTATGCACATCTGATTGTTTACCTACCACTAATTCTCTAGAGACCTTCTAACTTCTAACCTTCAAAATTGTTGAAGTGTTAGATTATGAGGTCTAAACAGGATGCTACAGATCTTTCCCAGAAAAATGTGCAATCCTGAGGGCATCTCAAGTCACAGAAAATAGTATCAGTTGCTTGCCCAATAACAGGCCAAACAAGAAACAAGCAGAAAGAGAAGACAGCAGAGAGCACCTACGGGAAGATTCTCTGTGCTTCAATTTGCTGCAGTGTAATGGAGACACTTATCTACACCAAAGGTGTATTGTGGTTTCACATGCATTAATATTTTCAAGGACTGATACTACCAATACTAAGTTTAATCAGTATCATAAGTAAAAACAGTATTAGAATATTTTTTTAAACATCAATTCTTATGACAGTGTGTCAAAACCATTTCAATTGCATGTAAAGATAAATAAGCTTTTCAAGACTTCCAGCCTACACAGTCCACGGAAGGACAAAATGTTTCACTACCTCTGTGAGCATATTGAAGACAAAAATGATAGATTGTATGCTCATTAATAATTCCAGACTTCCCCAATACAAACTGGAAGAAAACAGCTTGATGTTAGAAAAAAGTGACTACTAATACTGGTGTGAAAGTCATTAGATGTAACAGGTTAGAAGAACACAATTACAGGTTTGATGATTTCTAATCATGTAGGTAATGTTTTCTGCATATTCTAAACCTAAAATTTTTCTGCGAAGCAGATTAAACACATAATTCTCACCAGTCTGATAAGAGCTTTCAAGTCAAAGAGTTTTCAATAGGAGGTGACTTGGTTTTCTGCTTGTTGGGGTTCTTTTTGGAGGGGTTGGTTTTTTGTTGGGTTTTTTTTTGGGGGGGGGATGGAGCAGGGGCTTACTGTTCATTCCTATATCTTGCCATCTAGTCCGTGCATGAAAAGCTTCCATGATCTTTATCAAGGTAAACACAATTTAGGTAATTAAACAAAACCAGCATAGAAGTTTAAGTTACATGCTAATGTGAGAGAAAATGAAAGGTATTTTACATTGTCTATTAAAAAGATATTTATACTGTTCAGGATTTTCATAAATAGAGCAAAATCAGATGTTATAGGATGAACAACATTCCACAACACTAAAGGTCTCTTGCTAATAAATTATCTTATGATAATGTCAAAGAAAGTTATCAGAATCAGCTAGTACTGTTTGACAGCTTTCTTGTAATCATTCAGCCTTTTAGAAAATTACAAAAAAAAAGGACAAGGAACTGTTTTAATTAAATCAGAGATGACCTGTGAGTATTTAACACCATGGTGAACAGACCTGATGTGATTAGATGCTCAATCCTCCTAAACCATACTGTGCCAGTTATTTTGGAAACAGATGTTCCAAGAACAGACCAAGGAGACTGAACAGAAGATCAAATGATTTAAAAGCTCTGGGGCAATGAGAAAACCCTCTCACGTCAACTAGCTCCTTTCAGTACAGGTAGCTCCAAGATACAGGCTTTCTATATACAAAGGTATCACAGAAAAAAAATCCCACAAAACTGGCAGGAAGCAGAGATGATTTGATCAAAGAAGACCTAGCACTGCCCCGAGAGCTTTAAGTGAAGATCGGAGACACTACATCTTCTTAAAACAAAAAACACAACTATGTTCAATTAACTCATATGAAATGAGTCTACGGGTACAAATGTTGTTAGGAAAAACTTTCAGTTTTAAGCCATTACTAAATGACTGCTACATTAAGAAGCTTGAATGATACATGTTTTGTTGGTCTTGGCTGGACAGAAGGCATCTAGTAGTTCATGTACGAGACATCTTTGACAGCACAGGGAGTACTCTCTTTCCTTACTGCTGTCTTTCTTGTAATTCGTTGTGGTAATAGCTTATTACCCTATCATTATACTCATTGACATACATTTACTGAGAATTTTGTTTTTCAGGGAGTAGGAAAAAAACAGTTTTCAAGATGAAATAAGAAGGGCTTGTTTGGTTCTGACTTAGAATGAGAGAATGTTTCAGTTGTTTAATGGAATTGTTACCATCCTGCGGTTACTTCAGTTGTCTAGAATGGATTGTCAATTTGCAAGGCCTGGTCAATAAGACGATGACCTGAACAAGGAGAGGCAGTGGGGGGTCTTTTAACAAGACCAAGTACAGGATCCTACTCTTTGGCCACAACAACCCCATGCAATGCTACAGCCTGGGGGAAGAGTGGCTGGAGAGCGGCCCAGCAGAGAGGGACCTGGAATTACTGGTTGACAATTGGTTGAACATGAGCCAACAGAGTGCCCAGGTGGCCCGGAAGGCCAATGGCATCCTGGCCTGTATCAGGAATAGTGTGGCCAGCAGGACCAGGGAATGTTATTCTTCCTTTGTACTCACAACTGGTGAGGCCTTATCTCAAGTACTGTGTACAGTTCTGGGCCTCTCACTTCAAGAAGGATATTGAAGTGCTGGAGAAGGTCCAGAGGAGAGCAATGAGGGTGGTGAAGGGACTAGAGGGAAAGCCTTATAACGAGAGGCTAAGGGAGTTGGGGTTGTTTAGGCTGGAGAAGAGGAGACTCAGAGGGAATCTTATCACTCTCTACAACTACCTGAAGGGAGGTTGTAGTCAGGTGGGGGTCAGGCTCTTCTCCCAGGCAACTAGTGACAAGACGAGAGGTCATAGCCTGAGGCTGCATCAGTGGAGGTTTAGGCTGAATGTTAGAAAGCACCTTCTCATGGAGAGGGTGATCAGGCATTGGAATAGACTGCTTAGGGAGGTGGTGGAGTCACCATCCCTGGAGGTGTTTAAGGAAGGGCTGGATGTGGTGCTTAGTGCCATGGTCTAGCCGATGTGGTAGTATTAGGTTATAGGCTGGACTTGATGGTCTCAGAGGTCTTTTCCAGTCTCAGTAATTCTGTGATTCTGTGATTCTAGGTATATCATTTATGCAAACCTCAATGGAACATTTTGGCTAAAATGATGTATTATTTTTTGTCCCTAACTTTTACTTATTTTGCTTTGGACCAACTAATTCCAAGGGCGTATGTGTCTCATTTATCTTTGAGATCTACACTGCTAACTGTTCTCACATAAGTGTGGGCAGAATGACTTTTTTCTCTTGTTCAGCTTCCGCTTAAATATTGGATTAAATGCTAATAGACCATAAGTTTAGCTCTGAATGTGCTATTTATTAAAAGAATCAGAGTCTACAAGGCAGGGAATAATAATTTTACTACCACTTCAGTGTTGGAAGCATAGCATTGATAAGAAAAAGAGTAGAAAACCCTTGTACAACATTACTGATTTTTTTGTGGCAGCAAGTTCATGAAGTAGAGTTATTAACCAGAAATAAACAGTAAGATATAATTCAGAAAGTAATAACAATATTTTATAAATTTTCTTCAATATTTTTATAAACTTGACAATTAAAAACCCTTGCTGCTTCTGTGCTAGAAACCAATCAACCAAACAAAACATCCTAACAAACAAAAAACCACTGAAGCATTCAGAGTTCACCATTTTTTTCTTCCTCCCTTCAATTTGTTTCTGATTAAAATCTTCAGGCCTGGATACTCTTCTTTGTTTCTAATTAAAATCTTGAGGGCTGTGTGTATATATATAATTTAGGCAATCCCAGGTCAAGTGTGAATTAGGGTCCTGAATCTCCTCTCAGATTGGTACCAGCCTGTGCATCCTTGGTGACAGGCACAGAGCTGATTGAGGTAGTGTGTGTGTGTATATGTATATATATATATAGGGATTGCCTAAATTACTGAAGAGACTGAGGCACCCACTCTTCCAAAAACTTTCCTACATCTGTTTCTACCCTCAGAAATGCTCAGCTGTATATTTATGGGGAGAAACAGAATCTTCCAAATAGGTATTATTATTCTTTAGTTCCCAACTTTTTAAAATTAAACTGAAATAAGTACGGAGTAGGCATTTGAATTTCAGTGTTCTTCCTCATAAGTTTTACAGTCAAGTTTGTGTTGTTTTTAACAACATGATGCTTGGTAAGTTCAGATGCTTACTGCATGTACTTTAATAAATAAAGGAGGACCCTGCTTCCTCTGGAACCCTTGTGGTGCCTCTAAAGTCCTAAACACAGAATTATTAATTTTTTCCTGCTTTTTCAATTTTGAAGTGTCTGAAATCATATGAAGACTGTGTTGCAGTCCACAGAGCCATTGTTAAAGCATGAAATCACCCTCCCTGTCTGCTGCCTCTGAAATCACACACAAACTTTGCCTGGAAAGTGACAGACAATACAGTCCAGAGCCATGCCAGGAAGTATGTGAACAGTCTCGATCATCAATAAGTCTTCAAGTTGCTGCCTGACCATGTTTTATTTACCAGTATAAGCAGAGGAACAATATCCTGCCCTGAAAATACTCACTGATACATACAATTTTACTCCTATAAATTGTGTGAGTATTCAAGTATATTGATGGTTAATGGTTTAATGATACAAATGAAAACTTTTTGGTTTTGTTCTATTCACAGGCAATACACTCAGCTAAGCACTGCTTGCATGTTTTCTGTGGCAGCTATGTCAGTCCATCTGGGCCCAAAGCTGCAGCCTTAGTGAATCACAAGGAACCTGTCCATCAATCTGATGGAATAATTCTTGATATGCAATTAGTTACTAGATAATACGTGAACAGCAGCTGAAACTATTCCTCCCAATAACTACAGTGGTATTATTTCAGGACTGAATTCCTAAGCCACACTGTAAAGGTGTTAGAAATTTAACACAGAGGACCAATTAGTTAAGTTAGAGATGGATTTACTATAATATTTGAACCCATAATTCTTCAGATCATTTTTTTCTGATTTGGTCTTAAAGCATCCAGAGATAATGCAAGGAATGAAAATTTCTTTATTTAATATACGTGCATATACAGGTGAGTATATATGACTGATATGCACAGTGTGGATATCTACACACACTCTAATTAAAATACATTTTTTCCTCAGAAATGTCACTTTGATAAATCTTTATTCTCATGCCTACTTTTTCTTATCACTGTTTGATGATTTTACTCTTGTGCATTGTTCCTAGCCATCCAGTCAAAAGTATACACCTGCAAAGAGCTTTGCTGAGAGGCAGTCACATATTGTGATCCACAATCAAAGTAAGATAGGAAGCCAAATTATATTGCTGTGACATGTCCATCCATCTGCTGTAGTTTCCATAATCTACTAAAGCCTATCTACAGATTATACTGATGTTTAACCTTACTGAAAATCAAGAATAAAATTAAGAATAACTTGCAAAAAGATAAAAAGACAACAGCTATAAAAAGCCCCTAATTTTAAGTACACTGAAATTAAAATAGAACTGTTCCATGTTTTTCATGCACTGATAAGCTGACCAAAATTCTTTCATATACCGTATTGTACACGATACATCCACATGTGGATGTTAGTACTCCTATTTTAGAGGAAATACCATGAAAAAATAAATAGTGGTACTAAAAGCAGCTAAATGTTTACTGAAGATAACCTTAATCACTTAATGTTAAGTTAAATATTCCAGTTGTTTAATCTCCAATATTTTATTCTAATGCTTTCTTTCCTTTGTGAAACTGTATTGTTTGTTAAAATGAACATGTTCCTATTTTATTTAAATTAGTTTAAACAATTATAGTTGTGTTGCTTATATCATCAAATACAAAAGTTTATCAGTTACTGCACATGGGTAGTAGTAATAATAACTTTGTGTGGTAAGATGCCAACATGTTGCTCTCAGAATCCCAAAAGCTATAATCTTATTAATGCATGACCATTTGGGATATGAATATTACTGGAAAGAGATCTCCTTTCAGTGTAGTTTCCCCAGGAGAGGGAAACCCAAGAGCATAAATGATCCCATAATGTCTGAACTGCTGCACATTATTTCTGTTGGACAAAAACCAAATACTATTGTAAAGAAGCCAACACCAGCACCAGAGTACCATCATTCCCACTGAGAAAATCAAGCTCTATACACGTTGAAAATAAAATATGGGAAATAAAAAATACAAAAGTTTCTATAAAAATATTACCCCTGTCATATGTATTTATGAGCAATTGCTGTGATGAAGCCTGCTTAAAGTTCTTTGCAGATATGCATGTGGTTTTGTCTCTAACGTACATGTTTCCTAGCTCTCAAGTTGAAAAAAATGCAAATCCTATTTTTACTTCTGCCATATGTAATAGCAGAATTTTGCCACAGGGTGGTACACCAGACATGTTTAACTGAAGGCTTTTGTAATGCATCAGACAGCTCGGTTATGCCCTCTGCCAGCTTCACTCTACCAGTAACAGAACAATCTGGAGATCTCAGAATAACTGGCCATGAGCCAGAGGCATACATATTCAAAAAATAAGACAGAAAAATACCAGAAGAAACTGGATCTACTTTCAAATGTTAATAATAAGATGGTATTAATTCTACATAAATGCACATATCTGTCTACATCCAACTTGAAACATTCATAGGTCTTTTTAAAGAACACATTTTTGTTTCATCTTAATAACTAGAAAAATTAATTATATTAGATGGAAAAAACTTCCAGCCTATAAACTTCAGGTTTAGATTTTGAATTGAAGAGGAACCATACTGTGTCAACTGCAAGATGAAAAAATACAACCTCTGGCATTGAAACATTTCCTATTCCAATGAGAATATAAATAAATATCGAAAATATTAATTAAGCTTTTTTGTTGTTTTCCTACTTACAGTAGAATCTTTTATTAGAGTACTCTGTGACTTTAAATAGAGTTTTCATCCTATAAACTAAACTCAACATCTGTCTTCAGATGGAATTTTACTGTTCCTTTACTGGAACACAGGAGGTTCCACTTAAATTTGAGAAGAAACTTCTTCTCAGTGAGGGTGACAGAGCACTGGACCAGGCTGCCCAGAGAGATTGTGGAGTCTCCTTCTCTGGAGACATTCAAAACCCGCCTGGACGCCTTCCTGTGTAACCTCATCTAGGTGTTCCTGCTCCGGCAGGGGGATTGCACTAGATGATCTTTTGAGGTCCCTTCCAGTCCCTAACGTTCTGTGATTCTGTGATTCCCTGCCACTATCCACCTTTTCAATTAAATAAATTAAATAAACTCGTGTCAACTTTACACTTACCTTTTCTAGGCAAGAGGAATACTCAGTGATTTAAGATAAGTAGAAACTATTCCCTTGGGTACTAGGATCGTTTTAAAAAGTTAAGAAATATAGATTCCTACACTGATTCTTTTGCTTTGACTCATGGCTGAAGTTCTGGCTGTGGATTTAAGTGATACTGTGGAATTCAAAAGTAAATTTAATGACAGTGATATTGACATAAATAGGCATAGAACAAGATCTCAGTTTGGAATTGGAATGTAACTGTTTAGTAATACAATAATAATTGAAATTACTTTCACAAAGCTTTTCAGAGCTGAGCAATGCAGGATGAGACACAAAAGGAGACATTTTCTAAGACAGGCAGCACTGGCTGTCATAGTCAACCAATACTACATCATGCATCTTAGAAAATTCCCTAAGATCTTTCCTCTAGAGTTACTTCTTTCAGTCTAGAGCAGGGCTCCATCTCAGATCAAGTGAAATCAAGGATGCTTTTTCTGCCTCAGAAGAGTTAGTATTTTACAATTTTTAATCACTGTGCAGGACTCTATAAAATAGAAATGCAGTCATCTCATGGAACCTACCTCTTTCGCACGATCTGCCAAGGTACCCTGTACCAGAGCAATCACAAACATATCTGTTCCACCCATCCCTGCATACACCATTGTTTTTACAGGGGGTGCTAAGGCAAGGTTTCGCAGTTTCTCTTGAGCATGAGGGTTTTACTCCAGCTGTACTTTGAATTTCAGCCATCTGTCGAATATCTTTGCTTTGACCATCAATAAATAAATCTCTAATGCAGCCGACGTATCCATAATTGAGAAGTGCTGTCCACACCTCTGTTGGGAAGATGAGGCCTGCTTTATTTTCTGGTAAGCCTCCAAGATACAAGTCATCATCCAAGTCAAGGATTTCACTTTCCCCTGGTGCAGTATATGGTGTACGTAATGTGTTCACAGATATGGTCCCTGAGGAAAAAAAAAATACAACAAAATGCATGATTTTCAAGACATTGAAAAGATTTTGGGACTACTGTTTTACTCATTAATCTACATGCCACATAAGCTCTAGGCAAACATCTATAAATGAAACATAGGTACTCTACTTGTAAAGCTATACAGTAACAGACGCACATCATTATTTTAATTACAATGTAGTACAAATACTGTCAGGAAGTGAACAAAGTAAAAACATTTATGCACAGTACTGCGGGGTCACAATATAAAAAAAAGTCTAAGTCATCTTACCAATCTTGTAGGGGTATGGGGAATACATTTCAGACTTATTTTCAGAAATATCCTGGTAGAGCAACAACAACAAAATCTCTTCACTACCTCATATGTGCTTCAAAGCATTAAGGCTGAGGTTGCATTGATAGGTTACAACCTGGGAGGCAAATCTGTGTCTTTGGTTCGGATCCAAAGGCACAGTATTTTAAAAGACTCTCACCACTTTCAGTGAACTTTGGATAAGACCTTTTTCTTTAAGTGCAGAAGAAAAACACTCTCATCAGTTGCCAGACAGGCAATCATTAAGAAGATAGTGATGTGCTCCTAGAGGGAAAATCAATGCCTCTAACACTTACTCCAAATGTGTGCATGTTACAGAAAGAGGGAGAGAGATGTACACAGAACCTCAGGAAATCAGAAGTATCTTTTCCATTCAAGTTTAAAAAGTGAACATACAAAAATAAGCCTAAAATAAAGTTCTGTTTCTACAATGTGTCTGAACGAAGAAACTGTAATAAACTGTAAAGATCCTCTTTGTTGTACTTTTTAAAAGTCATGAGATATCCAATTTTTACAATTTGAACAGGCAGAAAACTGAATTATCATGTATGATGAGACACAAAAGGAGACATGCACATGGGGTCACAGAACATACTTATGTCAACAATTTTATTTACTAAGTAAAATCACTTGAGAAAAAAATCTTAATGTAGATCTTCACAGAAGTGAATCCTTACCATTCTCTATGAGTGCAAAAGCAAGCATAATATAAATCAAAACACTATATAGGTCACCAGATTATTATAATGTACCAGCCACATTATGCAGCACTGTTATCTGCTGGACATACTATTAAAAGTGTATTGACAAGACACCGAAGAATCACATTTACCACAATGTGTTTATCATATATATATATACACATAAAACTAACACGATTCACGATTTCTACTGTCAGCATGCCACACATTCCAGAAGATAACTGACTATCAATAATACTTCCACTGTAGAGGAAGTGGCACATGAGAACAGGAAATTCAGACTTTTTATAGCATACATACTGAAATGTGAGTTTTAAGCAAACAGAGGCCAGTCAGAAAAGGATCATTCTCTTACTTAGATTCATCCTGAAATTTAAGTTTCTCTTTTAGCAATTGAGCCCTGTGGGAGCTACATATTTTGTTTGTTCTTTTGTTGGTTCAATAGGTTAACTTCAACAACAATGACAGAATGAATATCTAAACAGTCTGGACCTTCATTAAAAGGTCTTTGTGGCAGAAGTCTCAGGAGGTCCAAACTCCCATGTGAGACATGAGATGTATAGATTTTAGAAGGGCTGGATACTACTACAAGCAGTCTCCCCACTGTCAGGAGAGATCAAAAAAGATAAAACAAAGGTTTGCATAATATTTGTGCATCTTTATGAGCATGTTTGAGGATGTGGTCAGTTTTCCCTTTTATTTATTATCAGAAATTTTTTCTGTGTCATTGAATAATCACATAAAGTGAACTTCCAGTCTTAACTGTAAGAAACAGGCATATTGAACCAAGATCCTTTTTCTTTCAAACCTCCACCTGTTTAAAACTGATAAGACTATTATATTTTGCTAACGCTAAATATTAGTATTGCTGTGCAGATTCTTGAAGCCAAGCTTGGCACTCATATGGAGTACTTGCTATAGATTTGACCTCAGGTATACAAGCATAAACATTTCGAGGTTTGATTTTATTAATCAGCTGCCTCAAACAAGGACACCTATAGGTGACTTCAACCAAGATACTTAACTTTTCTGAGAGCACCCTAGGTATCAAGGGCTGCTTACAGGCAATAGATCATTTTTCCTTTAAAAAAAAAGTAAAGAAGCTATAAATATAAATCATACTTGTGCTCACAGTATTTCTTACTGCTATTGTTGCTTGCTACCATCTGTTACTGTACAGGCTAATTTAGGACCAAATGCTTTAAACCTATGTTCAGGCAGCACTTGTATCCACACAAGTTAACTCAGCTGCAACCTTCAACATCAAGCTCATGCATTAGCACAGTGCTGACTTCTGCTGGACAAAGACATCTGTGTTTTCAAGCTATGCAAGATGCTAGAAGACATCTAGGGCTCCATTTCTATTAAAAAAAAATATACTAAGCCTTGATGGCTTTTGATGCATAGGAAATGAGAGGTAAATATCAGCCAGTGTAGCCACAACATTTACATGGTGTTCCAAATGGAAGTTTTGCAAGCACAGAAGGCTGAGAAAGGTGAATGATGAAGGGAACTGTAGATCTTCACTACACTCTGGTGACTCTGAAATACAGTTAAGTGATTGAAGCAGAAAATTTTCTTCTGTATGTCATAAAGGATTACCCCAGAGAGAGCTTAAGTATTATTTTGAACAGAAATTAACAGTTTCTTAAAGAAATGAACCTTTCCCATTCCCAAGAAGTGACATCACATAGAATATACCTTCAAAGAAGCCCTCTGAAATCTAACAACTATGAGTAGGAAAACATAACAGGTAACAACTCTTCTGTGTATCTTTTCCATGTTTTGGAAGGCCATGAAATTCCTATTACCCAGCTGGACTATCTCCAGTTTACTGCTGGACATATCCATGGCACTTCAAGTGATCTACATACTTTGTGTTAACCAAACAACTGTAAGTTGGCTTTATTTAGCCCTTTTTTGGTGAGAGCTACAGTAAGTCAAATAGCACTTGCAGAAGACTCAAAGCTTTAACAAACTCACTCTGGCTAAAATATCACATAGCACAGTCTAGAACAAGACTATAAAACAAATAGACTTCAGTCTAGCTAACAGCGAAAACCCAAGCCTGGGCACCAAGAGTTTCATGCTATCAGTTACCAGATTATCCTACTCTTCAGATGAACTTCTAACAGCATGTGCAGGCAGCCATACAACCATCACTGCTGTTGGTATCCGGATTACCTTTTATTCATATCTCTGATAGGTGATGCAAACTTTACTCACTACCTGTTTTGTAAATGTGGGTAAAAAAAATCCAAGAAAAATAAGGGAGAATAAAATATTTCAAAAATAATAGATCAAAATTCTGGTAGAGTTTGTTTTTGTTTTTTAATATCCTAAAATAAAATGCAGAACTCAAGTTCATACAACATGTGCCAACAGAAATACAGAAAATAAATAATGGGTCTATAAATACCTTTAGATCCACAGTGCATCCAGAGCTGTGACACTGAGAAAGAGTGCGCTGCTTCACCTAGGTGGTTTTGGTTTTTGTGGTTTTTTTTGTTGGGTTTCTTTTTGGTTGGTTCAGTTTTGTTGGTTGGTTGGTTGGTTTTGTTTTGTTTAGTTTTTTACGCCTGTCATACTTCTTGAGGGAAAGTTTTCAAGTTCTACTGCAACCATCTCAAGCTGGATATCACGAAAATAGCAGATGCTGCCACAGAATCCAGGTATAGTAATGCATACCCCCTTTGCTGGATTTAAATTCCACTTTCTCTGGGAATTATAGGCAGATTAAACGAAATTGTTCTGTCAAATCACCACTGTGCTCCAATCTGCTTGGAAGTTTCTACTTAGAAGCAGGAAGAAGTGAAGTTAATGGAGCATACAAATGTCTTTCGTGGCCAGCACAGGAAAAGGTTAATAATTAGCCTTGTAAAGATAATGTAACATCAATCCTTCTCACACCAGAATTGTTGAGTTGGATAAGAGGGAAAAGAATGGAACGCATCTCGTTTTACAAAATAACCTAAAGACAACAGAATATGATGAGGCAGCAGCAGATTCAGAAGAGCATTGGCCACTCAACAGAAAGAGAAAACTATATCCCTAAATTGTAACATCTCTGTAGTGAGAACCATCCTTTCAGTTATATCTTTGCGTATTATTCAGCATAACAGCACCCATAACCCGATCACTAGTCATATTATTTCTCTGAAAAGAGCAATGCCGAGGCAATAATGTCTGCCAGGAAACAAGCAGGTTCCTTACAAAATTTTTTTAATACTCAAAGTGGGAAACAATTTACTGTATTTCCTCCAGAAAAAGAAAGAAATGAGAAAAAGCTGATAGCATTTAATTGGTCCAGCCTGAAAGAAGAAAAAAGGGAAGACTGAAAGACAAGAAGGTGTGGGATGATTTATTAAGTCTGGGAATTAATGATTTAGCTTCAGACTCTAAAAACAGGTAGCTTTTCTCATCTCCAGAAATTGGATATAAATTAAAGGGTCCTCTAATTACCTATAGGTGCTCTGATTCCACAGCATTTCACCTGAAAGCAAAGTGAAATTTAAGCATTTAGAAATGTCTTTATGTATTGGAGGAACAGTTTGAGAAAAACTAATGAAATTATAAGTTTTGGCAGGTATTGTTGACTTAAAGGATAACTGACTAGTGGGCAGTTCTTCAAGGAAAGAGTCAATAATATATGTCAACAATAACACACATATGAGCAAAATAGGAAATATATTTGGAGGTACAGAGGTACAAAGAAGCCTATCACTTTACTGAGCACTGGTAACATTTACCCTGAATTCTAAGTAAGTTGCAGATCAGCTAAGGATACTGCAGAAGATGGCAATAAAATGGTCAATAACTACAGAACATGACATATAAGCTGGAATTTCTTAATCTATGAAGAAAATTGGAGACTGATAGAAAAGCATTCAAACTATAAAATGTATGAAGCTATGACACAGGAAAAACTGGTGTATTTTGTGGCTACTTTGAACAAGGAAATTATGGACAAAATGGCTTGTTTTGCATACAGAAATCTTCAGTTTATGAATTATTACATGGGGACATCGTACAGTGTCCACTGCTGGAGGTAACTCAACAAACACCTGTCAAGACTGACACAAGTACACTATCACTACTTTCATTGGAGGGGTAAAATAGAGAACCTCTCAGGGTCACCCCACCTCAATTTTATTATGAGCTCGTGAATAATTGAAAAACACTAACAGGATCATTAGAAGAATTTTCCTTAAAATGCAATATAAACCCATTACCTCAAATATGTAAACTATTAACATTTGTTGAAGTAGGAATATGTAAATCTGGCAGTTCTTAAAAGGTTGGAAATTTGGCGGAAGAAGTATATAGAAGTGCATATGGAAAAAAAGAACTTTGTCCTGGTTTGAGCTAAATGGAACTAATTTTCTATTTAGTGATTTTCCTTTTTAGCTCAGTCTCTTCTAAGTGTCTGAACTTGCTGAAACTAGCAGCATGTTTTTCCAGACAATGTGATAATCTCAAGGCCACTGTATCACCATGGGTGCTGTGTCTGTGCCTACTGGGGAGGAGAGGATCTAAAACTGACCAACTAGGTATTCCATCCCACATACATCATACTCAGTATAAAGGTCGAGGGTCTCAACTCTTCCATCTTGGACCCTTCCTTTCATCTCGATCCTGCAACGGCTGGAGTCCGAGCAGAACCCTGCTGGTTCATCTGCCTCCAATCCTGATTCGTGTGTTCTGCATCCTGCTACCACCTGCTGTCAAGTCCGGGCTGGGACTTTTCCAGTGCCCTGCTCCGCAGAGCCTCTGGTGACGTAATTGTCATTGGAGGAGGATGGGGATAGGATTTTATATTGGTTTTGTATATGTATTTGTACATATCTGTATATATTTCATTATTTTCCTATTTACATTATTATCCTGTAGTAACAGTATTATTGTTCCATTAAATCTGTTAGTTTTATTTTCCAACCCATAAAGTCTCTCTCCCTTATTCTCTTTTCTCTTCCCTTCCAGGGAGGGGAGAGGGGGTTAATAGAGAGCATCTGTCCCAGCCCTAAACCACGACAAAACTGCAGCAACAATGCATATAATGGAGAGTGACAAAGCACTACTTACACTGAGATACTGATTACAGTTAAGCTCTAATTACACACTCTCGAGATAATTTCTGGTATTTAAACTGAAACTCTAACTTGAGTTCAAAATTTCAGTGACTTTTTAGCCCCTAAATGCTACCTACTTATGAATACATTCTGATAAATTCTGTTTTACATTTCCATACACAATTGAAGCTTGTCAAGAAGAGTAAGTTTCCTCTTTGCTTTCACTGTGTAATGATGATTTCCAAAGGATGAATGGTGTTTTAGTCAAAATACAAATGCAAGGTTATCCTTGAATATGGTAAACAGTTTAACAAAATTTTAAACCATACTCAGTCTCAGAAAACAGCTATTAAACCTAACTCTACTGTATTACAAGAAACACCGTGAGCAAAGACATTTACAGCCACTTCATGATTTTTTTTCTTTAGTTTGGGTTCAGGTTTTTTTACAATTCTTTTACTGCAGAGTTGGCAGTACTGCTAAGAGCAGGAAAGAAAAATATTTCCCTTAGGTATGAGTTAATAAGCCTCTCCAATCATACTCATTATGTCAGCAATTTACTTTTTCATAAGTCTGTGTATAAGAAATTATGACATATTTCTAAAACTTGTCTCAATTCTGATCAATTAAATATGAAGATCGTAACTACAGCAACTACAACTATTCTGATCTCCATGCTTACCTTATGTGACCCATTTAGTTTCTTTTTGTGCATGTGAAACACACTTGCTTATTGAGAAATGGTGAAAAATCAGAGTAAGGTGCTCTAAAAACACTACATTTGTATGCTAAAGGATAATGTTTTGATAAGGACTGTCACCACAGCATACAGCCCATGGCCAAGACAGGGCAGATGTGAAGCAGCTATGAAGCTACTGTCCTTTGCAGGAATTCAGGATAACCATGAATACTGGAAGGGAACCCAGCTTACATGACAGGACACAGCAGTTGGTACCAGGTTGTGACTCCTGCTGTACACTTAGTAAAAAAGACAGATTGCTGGAGAAAGTGTATTCCCCTTTCGTCTGCTGCATATCTAGCAAGAAAGATGGAGCAATGCAGAAGGTATGAAATCTTCCTTTACTTAACACTGGGAAATAGGATCTCAGGCGTTCTTTCTCAAGGAAGATCTGCTTTTTACATAATGAAGCACTCAGAGTAGGTCTTGCAAGCACGGATGGCATTCTAGCGTGAAAAATTTCCTTCAGCAATAGGAAATTAAAAGGCACCATTTCTTCTCCCTTCCTTCCATCTCTCAAAATCTGAGGGGATCAGCAGAATTACTAGTGAATAGGGCCTGCATATGTAGAACTTAAAAATATGTTCTCATTCCTTACATCTCTCCCACCACAATCCTAGACAAGCAATGACAAAGTCAGTAGTTTAGAGTAGATGCTCCCTATGACTGAGAGTCCAGGAGAGAGCAAAGAGTGAAATATACATTAAGTACTTGCTGATCCAGCTAATATGAAAGTCAAGGAAATTAGCAAAGCTCCTTGAGAAATGTCACAGCTTTCTATAATCTGAGGGAAACACTCTGCATTGGATTTGAAGGCCAGGAGTAAAAGGTTGCAGGACACTAAACTTCACTTAAAAAAAAAATAAAATTACAGGCTATTTGAGGTAGTTATTCATTAACAGGAGAATCTCTTCCTTCTCCTTCTTCATAGGTTGGGAAGTATTTTATCAGCAGCAACAAGAAAATCTCAGAAAAGCCTTTTTTTTTTTAAATACAAGGTATATTAATTCACTTATACAAAAACGCTGAATGTAAGCAAGTAAAATGTGATCATGTTCGTATAATTTCCAGCATGTTTAGTTTTGGCTAGGAAAATAAATGAAAAAGTTTCCTGGAATAGTAAAGTGGATTTTATTATTCATGGGAAAAAACATAATACACCAACATGCATAAGTTATACAGAAAAAATCTAAACAATACACATTGGTATTTTCTGTTCCAATCAGAAGAAAATAGGAATATACAATTCATTGTTTACTTTAATTGATATGTCAGATATTTTACTTGGTTAAATATGATGGTCTGAGGTACTACTCAGCTAATATTCTCATTAAAAAAAATAACAGCATTGCCACTATTCATGGTGTTTCCACTACTGTATAGTATCATTGTATGTATTATTGAGATTATTCAGATTTATTATTCAGATTTCAGCTAAAAATTCAGTTTGTCAATCCATATGCATACATATTTATTAACTATTCCTGGTAATAGTTCAATAATTTAGAGTAAATAGGTACTATGGTCAGTTTTCAAGTGTGATGGGGTAAATAAAGTAGATGCATCTTGCTCATAGGTGATTCATTAGCTGGATTATTTTTTCTTTTACATATATATTTGACTATATAGAATTCTACTTTAAAATAATATGCAGTCCTGATTACCAGGTATGGATTGCTTCCTAAAATTAGTCTACGTTCTTGCTGATGTCCATCAACAGTTTTAAAGAACTAAATAAAGTGAGACCTAAACTCTCTTAATGTCACTTGTGAGCTACAGTTTTTGTTAAAAAATGAAAGTGCAGAACACATCCTCAAATGTAAACAATTGCTATGCATATTTTTTTTTAATATACATTTGTGTTGACTTAGGATGTAAGAATAAACTTTGCTTTCAGTGGAGTCCCACAGGCATGATTATTACAGGATTTACTGCCTTATATAAACCACTGAAACAGCACTTAAGAAGGAATCCTGAAATGGAGACTGCAGTATAAATAATATCACTGCTGGATATTTAATCACCATTGGGGCTTTTGAGAAGTTGTGCATTTCATTGTTTGGGGTTTGTTTGTTTGTTTTAATCTCAAGAATTGTAAATAAGCAACTGACATAATCAGAAAATCAAACTCTTCACAATTAGAATCTGAAGCCACACAGCCCAGTAATCAAATAATCATTTTTCATAATCCTAGGGCTGACTCATCGATTGAATTTGGTCTGGCTTTCAGCATGGATTTGACTGAAAACTTCAATTTAAACCTGGATCTTCACTTGATCTGAAATCTAATTTGTGGGTACTAAGAAAGTCAGTCATAAAACAGTAACTTCTTTGTGGTAAAGCTTCAGGAAGAAATTTTAAATGAACATCATGGAAAAGGAGCATCTGAAACACAAGGACAGTTTCACTAGCTAAATGCATTTTATACTGTAACAGTAGCATTATGAAGAGTTTATGAATTCTTTATTTTTACCCTGCAAAGTGAGATAATTTGTAAACTACTACAGAATATGGCAAGTTACTTATTTCTATGTCTGCTGATATGTGTTGCTAGCCATTCATTAGCATATCATTTAATTACGCTGAGATCTGCTGACATGTTCATACAAGGTCTGTGTTGTTTCTGTGGGCCAGCTTTTCCCTACATTGGAGATAACATTCAGTAATTCTTTTTTGCTTTATTTTTATTCTTGAGACTTGCCACTTCAGCTGTCTGGTGTAAGCAAGCACAGAGAGAGATTACTGTTTGTTTTTGAACTACACAGCACACTTACTTGCAAGATTAAGTACCTCATTACCCAATAAATGTTAACATAAGATATTTTACTCTGCAAATCATTGCATTCTGGCACTTAACAGTAATGAATTCTTTTATTTTCCTAATTTTTGAGATGATTCACAACTCTAATGGTAGCAACATGATATATACCCAGTATTCTCTCAGATACAACATGGCAAACCATACTGATTATTAAAAAAAAAACCCACACAACAACTTTACCTGATCGTCCATCCCGTTGAAAATCCACGTGGTACCATTCACCGTCATTCACCTTCTTCTGCAAAGCTTTTATTTTTATAGTACCCGATCCCATGTCTAAGAGCAGGTAGAGGTGGCCATCAAGCATTTCAATGGCAAAAAAGTCAACCTTCACCATCTGTGGATGTTTGGCATCTTTTTGGTGTCTTGGTTTTCCATGACTGAAAAGAATCAGGCCATTTGGCTCAGTAGTACGAAAGTCAAATGATATTGAGCCTGTTTTCTTGGCATTCCACTTTGGCAAGGAGATGAAAGACTCTGGTGTTTCAAATGTGATTGGATCTAAGGTTGCAACATTCTCACATTTAAATGCTACAACCCCATGAATCTTCATTTTAGGATCTCCTTGCTTGGCAAGTCGAGATAGTTCCAACCTGACATCATTATTTTTATATACAACCTGCAAGCAAAGCAGAGAAGTTACTATGAGGAACTTGACCATTTTAACCAAACAGATATAATATTGAATAACCGTATTATTTAAAGGATAATAATGATTGTATAGGAGTATGATAATTTACACACAAAAAAAATTAAATAAGTATTATCATTGACTAATGTTTTAATAATAGTTTTCATTAAACCAAACAAAGTTGCTCTAAAAATATCCTTAGAGTTAATTCAAACAATCTGAAAGAATCTGTGCGTAATTTATACTATCAGTCGCAAATTAGCTTGTGTGGCCTTGATTGCTTAAAAGCCCTCTTTGCAAAGCCACTCTGCTACGTTAAAGAAGTTTTAAATGTCTTCTTCCTCTAAACCTTTTGTCACTGTCTTCAATCTTCTGTTCATGTACAGAAAATGTACCAAGGTGAGATACTTCACAATTTAACTACTTTTCAGTTTGTCCTTGGGGCTGAGGAATAGTAGCATCTATGGTATTCATGAAGCCATAAAACAGGGAAACTAGTATCATACAGATCAAAACAGGGAAAAAAAAAAAAACTAAACAGGACAATCTTTGAGCCAGTTCAACCAGACAAAAAAATAAAACCACTTACATATTTTCCCTGACTGAAGACTTTTCTGATAAAAATGAAAGACAATATTAGTTTTAAAACCAATTGATCTCCACAGCAAATATTCTTTCTTCAAATCACATATTTACTTTGCCAAGAGAAGTCTGTAATGATATAACCATTTCCCAGGGTTCTAGTCTTTATTAGCATGGTCTGAAATTGCTGCTATTGCTGTGTTGTCCTGGATACAAGGACTGCTTAAATGAAGCTCCCCAGCAGCAAAGGTGTGGACAAGTGCTTTGCCAATAGTTTTAATTTAAGAAAAAAATATATATACTCAAGCTAAAATACCACTAAAGTGCTGAATATGAACGCATGATGACAGAAGCTAAAACCTCCTTCTCTGTTTCTAAGGTTAAGCCTACATTAGAAAGCAACTTGGAGCAAAAACAACAGCTCAGAAAATCAGAGCAATTTGTGCTGAGGCTTCTTCATCTACAGATTCTATATCATTCAGGACTAGATCATGTCTGGCCCCCGATCCAGTGTTCCAAATATACAGCGTGTTCTGAAGTTGTTCAGGGAATCAATCACTGGTTTAGACCTTAGACCTCTATTAGAGGTTAGAAAGTGCTTACTGAATACTTAGGGTAAAGCTTCTGAATTCATTTCTTCTGAAGCTTAGTTTGAACACAAATGAAACCTGCTCTGCAAACTGAACTGACACACAGTAACTGGAAGAGATGGGGGACGCACTGCAGAACTGCGCTTCTGACAGAAATCAAAACACTAGCATACACTCAATCTAAGATAGCATACACCACAAGTAATAGTTGCTACTGAAAAATAGTGTTTAAATAGAACACTAAAGAGATGATTGATGGATCAACATTTTCTTACTGTAAGAGTTGTGATCTTTCAAATTATGTCATTATCCATCCAGTGAATTTCATCATAAGTCATGGCAGAACTATTTTGCTACATTAAAAATGTGTCCGAAAAGATAATAAATAAGCCTATTCCTGCATTTAATTTCAAAGTTCAGTACAAATACTGCTGTTCCCGCTGGAGCTGTGACTCTAAAGACAACAAATAAACCTCACTGTGAATTCCTGACAGCAGAAATGATACTCTGCCACAGTGAGGCAGAAAAATTTGTTGCCTTCTTCAAGTGAAGACATCAGAAGTGACCAGAATTAGACTAACTTGTAATCTTAGAGAATAAGGATCCCTATTTGCATTTATCAGATACTTCCGTAACACCTCAGAAATCGCAGATTATGCAGAGAAATTAAGAAAAGTAGTGGAGAATAAGCACGTGCAAGTGATCTCCCATTAGGATGACTTTGTCTTTAGAGTGAAGAAAGCCAAAAGGCAGAAGAATGCAGATAGAAGCCAGTAGCCTGGCAGGCAATATTCTATCTGGTCTCATTAAACCATTGGCCACTTTCTATGGCAAGAAGGATTTTGGATAGCTTCCACCTCATTTGAAGGAGTTACAGGGGGCAACCTTTCTAGAATAGAGTGAAAACCATTAAACAGAGGCTAGAGGATATGATAAAAAAAGAACAAATGGGCTCTCATTAGAATTAAATAATGCTGTTGGCAATGAAAGTAATTAAGGCAACAAAGAACATGAGGAAAAAATATTCTTTAATTGTCTACTGAACAAAGGTAGGTACCAGGACAACATGAATAAATACAAAAAGATAATTTCTTGTTTATGGACAAATTGAAATTGTCTGATATTAATGAAGGCTGGTTGACTGAATAATAAAATCAGTAGTTAATAGCTATGTTAGAAAAACTGAGTAGACAAAAAGAGTGCTAAGCTTTCCTTGATGTCTAAAACAGTTCTATAGGCTTTGAAGCAATTTGCCAATGCAGAAACAATATTTTTTAATAAATATGGTTCAAGGACCTGTCAGACAAAGTGCAAGTAGGAATACTGGTAATAGTTTTCTCAGTAACTCATCAACAGCTCCTTAAGCAGCTTAATATGTAACATGAGGGAAAAACTGCTAGTACACTTTAGTAAGAGTGGCAAATACTGGAATTTTATTCCACCATATTAAAACATTCTTGGAATCTCTAAATATTGCATCTGGCAATTTCTTACTTTCATATTCCACAATAAAAACTTAATGCCTATTGAGATGTGAATTATTTCATCTTATTACATTCATTGTGTGGAAACAGAATATCTACATCTATGTTCTAGAGTTTTTATGTTCTAGGTTTTTGGATGTTTCTGTTCTTTTAATCTTACAAAATTGAAAAACTGGAACTTAATTATCATGGATAATTAGTATTAAAACAGAAGTATATGAACCATAACTGAAAACCATAATTGAAAGAGCTGTAAACTATTAACAGAACATAAGCTGGCATTAAGGAGACCTGTTTTCTGGTGTTATGCTGAGATTCTTACCCCTCTCCCCATCTCCCTGGCCATGAAAGATGTATTCAACTATCAGTGAAGCACAGAAAGAAGGAGAAAAGCAGCATTTCACAAAAAGAAGTAATCATTAAATTTTAAGAAAAGAACTGAACAGAAAGGAATAATTCTGAGACTAATATCTGCTTATAGCTCATGGAAGTGTATATTTCAGAATCTATACTCTCTAGGGTACAAATAATCCACCTATTATTTTCCAAAGATTCTGTCTTTTAATTTTTTTCCCTTCTTTCCTTCATAAGGACAAACATACTTATAAGTCCTTCATAAGGACTTATACCATCCACTGCTATTTCCATCTAAGACATCCAACACACTGTGCTTTAATGTTAACTCAATACATTCTCCCTCTGATAGGGACATGGATCCACAATTAGTCAAGTGAAGATAATTTGCAATGTAGAAATATTTGAGTCACATTCACTTTTACTCCTACACAACCTGCCAGTCAGTATCCTTGCACTGCTATGTGCTTTCCTCGCATCTATTGGGCTGGCCTTGGTAATAATAACTTGCTTTCTCTCACACTCACTTTCATACCTGAGCAACAACAATATAATTTTCCTGCACATGAAACTGCCAGCCCTCAGGGAATCGTATAGTGCTATTAAGAGCACCTTGAATTTGTCTTCTATTCACTGTATTCTTTCATCTTAATATTAAGTCAGGTTAAAGACCTCAGCCTTTAAATATCTCATTCTTGGAAACTTCAAAAGGTCACCTAAACACCCAAGAAAAAAGGAGCAGTTAGAAATTCCCCCCATAACTTACAACTGAACTATCCAAAGCAAGGAATAAATTTGTTTTCCAGGAGAGAAAGGGCAGACCTATGTATCATTTTACAATCCAGGTACGAGCTCCTTTTGCTATCATCTAGGTCAATCACATGTTGGGTTACTTACAATATAGTAGTGCTGAGTCTTAATAAATAAGAACAGTTAAGAGACAGCAACTATTAACTTAAGCTCAGCACTATCTTTAACATGGTCTGTGGTCATCTTGGAACAGAAGCAAAATTAATTCATGCTTCCCAAAGATATATCATGCACACAAGTTATTGCAAGCCAGGGCCCTGGTATGCAATGAACTCTAGAAATATATAATGAATTCACTACAGAACTTGCCAGTCATCACATCAGGAACCTTCAACAACAGCAAGTGTAGCTGAGCAGCCAATGAAAATATATTCATGAATCAGCAATGTATAAATGTATGAATGACATTGAAAAAAGGTGAAGCAAAGACAAGGAATTTACTGTTGATAGTGGAGATATATACAACAGTTGAAATATCAAATTAAAAAGTTGGTATAAAAACATCAATAGCAACTAAATACTACCAGTTCTTTCTACTGACCCTAGCCTATGAAATGTAAAACCTTGAGAGAATCCAGATTTCAACACCATTTTAAATTCAAAGTGCAGCTCTTTCCACATTAAAGATTTCTTTTTGTATTTTGTACATCAAATACTGTGAGTGAAGAAAAGACATTACTCTTAAATATTTCAGAATACTGACCAACTCTGCCAGCAATAGCCTTTCAACCACTGTGATTAAATGCCTCTAAATTACTATGGAGCATTTCTTCCAAATTACTTTATATTATTAAAACCAAATATGATCCTTAAGGAGCTAATCAGCTCACCTAATTTGCAGCATCAAGGTTTCCCTGAGAATCAAAGGGAAACCAGGAGTTCATAATACCTACATTATCATCTTCTTCTGAAGAACTTGTCTACTTACTTAAAGGGAGGTGAGAAAAAAATGCAGATTTGAATGCATTTCAAATATTTTCATATTTTAATGAAATGTGGATCACCTAGTGCAAACAATAGCAGTCAGTTCTCTAAAATGGAGACTCATATCATGCAGAATGGCTCAGGTAGGTGCTGCTAACCTACAATTTTATGCTGCATGGTGAAGTCAGCAGGCGATAACTTACTGCAGCAATGGGACTTACAGTAAGTGCAGCCTGAAGCAATT